GGAGCGGAGGGGAGGGGCCGAGTGGTGTCATGGCCGTGTAGTGGCCATCCTGAATGGATGGGTCGCCGAAGTGGCAGCACCCCCTCTGCCCCTCTTGCCTGACTCCGGTGCGACCCTCCCGAGCAGTACGAGCCCAGCAAATTGACCAGTAAATCTTTACCCACGAGCGCACCAAAAGTCTTTTCGCGCAGCCCTGGTCGGGGTGGGTCGCCGTCAGTCTAACTCATGCACCGTGGTGGCTTGTGGCTCGCCACCCTCTGCTGCCCAGGAGTCCAGGGCGGGGTGGGGCGTGGTGGGGCGAGGCGGTGACAGACTCCGCAATGCAGTCGTTTATTGTGGGCCAGTTAGTGTGGCCGAAGACAAACATCTCGCGGGGAGGAGAGGCGAGGCCCCTGGCCGGGCAGGGCGCCAGCTCGTCTTCCACCCCCACCCCACCCCCCTCAAACACCCCCTGCCCCCTCCCAAACTGTGCGGCTTCTCTGACCCCACTCTCTCCGTGTTCCAGGACCAGAAGCGGAAGCTGTTTCACAGCTCCGTCTACGACTACGAGCTGCAGCTGAAGAAGCTCTACATTCAGAATTGCCACCGCCTACCCGCCTACGGCTGCAAGGTCTACCCCGTCAAAGAGCTGCTCCGCGGAGGGAAGACCAAGAAAAAGGTACGTCTTTGCCGTTGTATGCCGTTGGTCGTGGCCGGCCCTGGCTGAAATGCGAAGCAGCCTCTGCCGTTAGGCTCTGAAATAATCACCCACTCCCCACCCACTCCGTGAACGTCTGCTCCGCGACCCTTGTTGAAGTTTGAGAGCTGTGCTGCGTCGAGGCAATTAAGAGAAAGAACCGAAAAACGAACTTTTTGTTTTTCAGCTAGTAGATAAACATCAAAATTTTAGTATATTTTTAAAAAATGTGTTCAGTTTTTGTACTGGAAGCGGCCCCTTTTCACAGCACCACAAAAGGTCTCGACCCACCGAAAAAAAAATGTGACTTTTCCCCTTTCTCTCGATCCTACGCACGGCACGGCCGCTCGCCCTCGCGCTGCCCGTCCTTAAACTGGTCATCGTGTGTTCCTTTCCCAAACCATTGGCCATAATCTCTCTCTCCCCCGGTCGTCGATACGGTCCAGCCACTACCTCCCTTCCCCTCTACCCGAGGAGTGAGGGGCCCATTCCTTTTCCCTTCCATTTCTCCGTAATCTGCTTACCTCCCCTCAGCTGAACTGACACGGCGCGGGCCGGACGAGGCGGGGAGGCGCCGCAATCCCATCGCGGACTTGAAGCCAACATATTTTTTTTTTACTTTTTTTACTTATTTTCCTCTTCCTCTTCTTCTCTAGGCCGCTCGCCTGCTGGCCCTCGGTCCGGAGAAGATCGTGCTCCTGGACAACAAGACCAAGATCCTTGCCAAGTCGCAGGAGACTACAGATTTGGTTCAGGTAATGTCACTCTGCTCTGCGCTGTCTTCCTGCTCTCTCGCTATCGCACACGAAAAAAAAGATGAATTGGATATATAAACCAAAAGTAAAATACGGGTTAAGTAATTATTGTCACTAGCTAAAGCTCTAGCCTTGTTGAGATACGTTGCTAAATGTTTGCCAGACAACTAAACCTTTAGCCACAAAAAGCTAAATAACTAGTTATCTATCGTACTTATCTATTGCTTTAGCCAGTTTTAGCTATGTAGCTAAATCTCTCTCCTCTGCTGCCTTCCTCTAGTGGCGCACGTGCGGCGGCCGCTCCCATGACCGTCTCCAGCTCGAGTTCCGCGCCACCCGCTGGTCGCTGGTCGTGCCGACCCAAACGGACATGCGGGACGTGAACAAGGCGCTGTGGGAGATCCTGCAAGAGCTCGACAGCCACTTCCTCGAGGACCACTCGTTCCTCTGCCCGACGGCGCAGGCGGGCGTCGAAAAGCGGCCGCTCTTGCCTCCCCAAGTTGAAGAGCTGGAGACCTTGCAGAAACTCCTTCACTTCCCCGAGGAGGTCGCCCTTCGCCTCGGCGACACCGAGTACCACCTGTTCTACCAGGTGCAGCCCATCGACTATCTGCGCCACGTCACCCTCGACCTGGGGGTGGCCGGCGGAGGCGGGGGCGGGCCGGGGGGCGGGCCAGGGGGTGGCGCCACGGCGGGGGGCGCGCAGCCCGGCCACGACGACAACAAACCTTCCGTGCGGACCCTCATCAACCGCTTCATCCAGGTGCGTCCCTCACGCGACGTGACGCTACTGACGCACGGGGTCAAACAACCTTGGCTGACGCCCTCTGCCTGCAGGTCTCGTCATGGGTGACCAACCTCATCATCTGCCAGCCGACGCACGAGGAGCGCAAGGCCTACCTGTCGTGCATCCTGCGCGTCGGGCTGTCCTGCTGGAACATCGGCAACTTCAACGGCGCCATGGAGATTGTGGCTGGCCTCAAGTAAGCCCCCGTGGACCGTTGGTGTGTGTAAGTAACCGCTTGTGCCTTGCAGGTTGTTCGCCGTGCTGAAGCTCGGAATTGCGGCCCTGGGGAAGGGGTTTCTTTCGGCCTTCAGCTGTATGTGAGGCTGTAGGCCGGCGGAAACTACTTGCCCCCGGGCTGCGACCGTCGTCGGGGGACTCGCCCGTCGCAACGCCTCCGTCGCCGTGTTTATGTGACTCCTTCTGGCTAACATATCGGACGATGTTGTCTCTCTTTCCAGCGCAGGACTGTGGAAGCTGGTCTTGTCCTCCGTTTTAAGACTTGTTGCGCGTTGTACACAGGTCGGACAAGCTCAAGCCGTTCTGGCTCTCCATCACGGAGAAGGAGTCGCTCCCCGTGCTGGACTTCCTATCGGCCGCGCTGCTCTCGGCCGAGTACGAGCGCGCGCTCCACCGCGCCCTGGCCATGCCCGAGTGCAAGGTGGTGCCCTTCTTCGGCGCCTTCCTGCGCGAGCTGCGCGAGATCGTCCAGGACACGCCGAGCCTGGTGGTGCTGGCGCCATCGTCGGCGTCGCCCTCGCCGACGGGCGGCTCCTCGGGACCGTCCGGGCCGGCGGCCGGGCTCGGGGCGGCTGCCGGGCCCGTGGGGGCGGGCGGTGACGCCGGCGCCGGCGGCCGACTGGAGGTGAGCGACCAACACCCGCCCGCCAGGGCGACCGCCTCCACCTCGACCTCCACCACCACCACCTCCCGGCACGGTGCGGGGCTGGGCCAGGGCCAGGGCCTGCAGGGCCTCGGCCAGGGGCACGGCCAGGGCCACGGCCACGGCAACCGCGGGCACAAGCAGAAAGAACGGCCAGTGGTAAGAGGCGAGCCTGGCCTCGGAACACTACTGCACGCTGTGTCAATCTGTGTCTTACGTAGAGACCCTGGGTCCAGTTCTTATGTCGTAGACTAGACGCGCGAGTGTGAGTGCGCTGGCTCGACCGATCCTCTCCGAATGTGCGCCGCATGCTATGGTTGTTTTTGGCCTTGACGTTTTATCTCTCTTTAATTCTTGTTTCTGGGTGGGGATGACACCTCGACGCCGTTGGGTCTAAAGTGTGCCCCGTCCTCCTCGTCCCCTGGGGCCCGGCGCCTCCCCTTGGCCCCCCGCCCCACTGCTGCTAGCGCAGCCGGCGCGGTCGCAGGTAGGGTTGACATTTCGGTCGTTTGCGCGCAGTCCCATGGCGGTGTAGGCGGGCACTTAGACGGCGGTGGGCGAGGGGTGGCGTACCAAGTGGGGCGGGCCAGCCGCGGCGCTGCATACCGCCTTGGCGCTGGCATTTTGCGGTTGCAATCCGCACGATTTCTCATACTCCGTTGGCATTTAAGCTGCGGCGCGGTGCTCTGCGCCCCCGCGCGCCCCCCTCTCGCTCGCCGGGGGCTCTCTGCTCTGCGCTCTCGACCACAGAAAACCGGCAACAGACCCCCAAGAGACCTTTTGCTGGGGCCCCGAAGAATTAAGTACGAGAGGCACGCCTACGCCTCTGTAATCGGATTCGTGCCTACTCCAGCGCACACCGCTGCCAGCTCCTTTGAGCTGTTCCCACCTCCCGTCGCTTAGTTCCTTTACACTTCGTACGTTGTCGTTGTCGGCATGGTCTGTTAGTGTACAGACGTGTGTAGCTTGTGGGTTTTACGGAATGACTTAATTAGGATCTCGTTTTGTATCGAACATAAGGATGTGAGTTTTTAGAAGACCTTTGCAAACGCATGCTGACTTTCTGTCTATGATCAGATTCCTGTCTTATTACTTTTCACTTTCTCATGCTCGAAATTTTTGTTAGAGTGTTTGTGTTAGATGGTCCTTCCATGTAGGATTTATTATTACTCAAATTTCTCAATGTTTTCCCTTATTATCTTTTTGTTAATGTTACTCGTTAATTAGCAGTCTCAGCATGACTGAAAATCGAATTTCAACCATCGGTCATTCTGACTGCAAACCAAATTAAACTCTGTGGAGCGGTCCTCTTGACCCGGCGTGCGTTCTCGTTTCGCAGTTCATCTCGGACTACAACGGCGAGGACCACTTCTTCACGCGCATCGGCCACGGCGGCCTCATCAACATCGACAAGGTGTACCGCACGCAGGCCGTGATGGACCGCATCGCGTGCTTCCACCAGCACTACCACGCGCGCCACCGCGACCCGCCCGCCAACGCGCGCGACGCGCACCGCGACCACCTCAGCATCCACACGGCCTCCATCGAGCGCGGCTACCTGGTGGACGACACCGAGGACCGGCACTACGCCCTGGAGCTGGACACGTACCGGCCCGTGCAGCCGCTCGCGCACGACCACGGCGTCTCGCTGTTCCCCATCTCCAGCTCCGGCATCGACCACCACGTCCTGCAGGTGAGCGCGATACCCCACGCGGCGCCCGCCGCGGCGGGCGTACTTACCCCGCGCTTCTCGCGGGGGGTATGCTCCTGACCCGAGCCGGGGGAAGGAGGGGGGGGATGCTTTCCTCATAAAAATCAGTTACTTTACAAACAAAAAAAACACAGGAAAAAACAAGGAAAAGTCAATTGAAAAACAGAATAATGCAGAAAACAAAAATAAGAAAAAAGTAGGAGTAAAATTTTTAAAAAAGAAAAATTGCTTGAATTGATCCTGAAGTACTGAAGGGCCTTCCATGCGGGACACCTGCCTGTAACCCGCGTCCGCTTGTCGCAGATCCTGCACCACGGCACGACGTGCGTGCACTGGGAGTCGGACTACAACCGCACGGCCCTGGTGTACGTGCGCCTGGAGCGGTCGTGCGCCACGCTCACGTGGGGCCGGCCCGCCTGGTCCGGGCTCAGCAAGGCGGGTGGCTCCGGGGGCAGCTCGTCGGCCGCCGACTACCAGCTGTCGGCCAACCCGGAGGACACGGTGGCGCCGGGGCTGGCCACCAAGCTGCTGGCCGCGCCGGGGGAGGTGGCGGGCGTGTCGCTCGAGGAGGGCTACTTGGACCTGGCCGCCGTCAAGGAGATCGCGCTCGGTGAGTTTCTCAGCGCCCTGACGGCGTCTACTGGCCCCCGGAGGACGGCATGGTGTGACTCGCGGGTGGTGTCCGTTGCAGGCGTGCGCGACAAGGACAAGGAGCCCGACATGAACAACGCGCTCAAGCGATACAACATGGAGCGCATGCAGCCGCAGGAGTGCTGCCTGGCGCTCGTGTTCGGCACCAACCTGTCCGACAACCGGGTGCTGTACCTGCTGTGTCCGCCGCAGCTGTGCCGCATCTGGTACCAGGGCCTGAGCTGGGTGGTGCGCGGCCTCAAGCGGCAGATGCAGCTCACGGACCGGCGCATGCTGTGGCTCAAGGAGCAGTACCTGCAGCTCTACTTCGACGAGAACTGCGTCGGGCCGCTGGTGGCTGACGCGATTCGGGTGAGTTGCGTTACCCTTGAATGGGGGTTCTGAAAATTTTGCCTGAAAGTTTTTTCAAGTTTTCTGGCAATATTTTAAAATTTTCCGAAAATTTCGCTCTTTAAAATCCCTACCCCGAATTGACTATATCGCTGGTGTGGGCCGTCTCCTGCTACAACATCCCTGGTTGCCCACCAGGTGTTCGGCGGCCGCGACTGGGCGGCGACGACCAACGTGAGCCGCATGTCGCCGCCGGACAACGGCACGCTGCGGCGCGGCGCCTCGATCAAGTTCAAGAAGAAGAAGTCCATCAGCAACATCCCCGTCCTCAAGGACCTGAGCCTGAAGCAGGCGTGCGACATCGGGGACGGCGTCATCGGCTCGCACCTGCGGCGCCCTGGCGCCGGGTCGAGCGGGCCGTCGCCCACCCCGGGCACGTCGCCGGCCATCGCGCCGAGCCGCTCGCGGTCCATCTCGAGCGACATGGAGGTGCGGCCGGGCGTGCACGGTGTGGTGCTCGGCGCGGTGCACGGCGTCGGCGTCGTGCCCAGCCCGCAGGGCTCGGCCGACAACCTCGACAAGATCTCGTCCAGCAGCCCCACGCACCACAGCCTGCACCGGTGCGCGCAGGGCAAGGGCGGCGCGCCCGGCGGCGAGCCTCTCTGGAGGCACTTCCGCGGCTCCATCACGCACGAGACGCAGCTCGACTTCGCCGACTACGTCGGGCTGTTTCGGTCTTTTAGGTTAGTCTCGCTTTGCATTTGAGTGGGTGCAAAAATCTTGGCCAACTTTAAGGTAATGTCTAACAAGTCACTCTTTTATTTTTTTTCCTCGTAGCCTTCGCGCCAGGAAGGACCTCCGGGACCTGTTCGACAAGCACGCCGTGACCTGCCGCTCCATGTCGGATTCTTCACTCAACGACACGAGCACCAAAAGCAGCCCGGAGCACCAGCCCAAGCCGCCGCAGAGGATAGGCCTGCTGACGAGGAACACCTCCCTGGACATGGTGGAGCTCAAGAGCTTCACGACCTCGCTACAGAAGAAGAAGATTTACGACGCCATCGCGGCCGCCTCCATCGTCTCGAACTGCGCCGGCGTGGAGACCTCGAAGAGCCAGGTCGTGACGCTGGCTAACTTCATGAAGTTCCTGGAGTCGGAGCAGCTGGAGCAGCGCGCCGAGGACGAGGGTCGCGAGCTGATCCAGCGCCACGAGCCCGACCCGACGCTGCGCTCGCAGTGCTGCATGTCCTTCGAGGGCTTCGCGCGCTTCCTGATGGACAAGGACAACTACGCGTTCGTCAACGAGCGGATGGCGCCCGACGACTCGGACATGGAGCAGCCCATGTCGCACTACTACATCGCCTCGAGCCACAACACGTACCTGACGGGGCACCAGCTCAAGGGCGAGTCCTCCGTCGAGCTGTACAGCCAGGTGCTGCTGACGGGCTGCCGCTGCGTCGAGCTCGACTGCTGGGACGGCGACGACGGCACCCCGCTCATCTACCACGGCCACACGTTCACCACCAAGATCCCCTTCCGCTCGGTGGTCGAGGCCATCAACAAGTCGGCCTTCGTCACCTCGCCCTACCCGGTCATCCTGTCGATAGAGAACCACTGCTCGCTCCCGCAGCAGGCGCGCATGGCGCACATTTTCCAGGTACGAACCGAGCCGTGCTTTCTGATTCTGCTTCTCTTTTATTTGTCAGGTGAGTCCACTGAATCACCCCTGTATCCCATTCATGTTTCTGCTTTCAGTCGGTGTTCGGGGAGAAGCTGGTCTCCAAGTACATGTTTGACACCGACTACACCGACGAGCCGCTGCTCCCCTCGCCGTCCCAGCTCCGCTACAAGATCCTCATCAAGAACAAGAAGCTGTTGGTGGACGTGCCGCTGCCGCTGGGCCTGCCCCGCGGCCACGCGCCGCCCCCCACGCAGCACCAGGCCGGGGCCGGGCCGCACGCCCGCGGGGCCTCCACCAAGCAGCCCAGGGCCTCCTCCATCATCTCCAACACCTCGGGCGGCTCCACCAACGACTTCTCGGACGACGACGACGACGACGATGACGACGATGATGACGAGAATATCGAAGGTAGGTGTACCTTGCTGCAGTGTTACCGACAGGGTTATTGTGCGAAGCTCACCTTATGCCCCTCACCCCCTCAGGAGGTCCCGGGCCGCCGCGGACCGACTCGGTGTCGAGCCACGACAGCACGCTCCAGACGCTGCACAAGACGGACGTGATCATACCGGGCGTGGGCGGCCGCATCGACTGGGGCATCCCCACGGAGGACGAGTTCGGGCCGCAGAAGCTCAAGAAGCAGTCGTCGCAGATCGCCAAAGAGCTGTCTGACCTCGTCATCTACATCCAGGTGAGTCTCCCCGGGCCACACTCTGTTACGCGCTGTGCCAGTTGTTTATTACGTAATTCCCTTACCAACCTTGTGTCCCTGCTTTCAGGCCATCAAGTTCCGCGGGCTCAACACCATCAGCCCCAACAGCTCCATCAAGAACAAGCCCAAGCCGCTGGCCGGCAGCATGGCCACGGCCAGCATGGCGGCCACCAAGATGATGCAGAAGGCGGCGGCGGGGCTCGCGACGCAGCCCACCCTGGCGCTGGCCACGAGCGCGCCGGGCACGCCGCCGTCGGGCGGGCAGGCGCCGCAGGGCGGGCTCATGGCCGGGGCCGTGGCGGAGCTGCCCGCGCCCACGCGGACGGGCCGCGTCAGCCCGTACCACCCGTGCTACCAGTGCAGCTCGCTCAACGAGAACAGTGCCAAGAAGCTGTGCCGCAAGCAGCCCATCGCCGTCCTCGCGCACACGGAGACCCAGCTCATGCGGACGTACCCGGCCGGCATGCGCATCGACTCGTCCAACTTCAACCCCATCGTGTACTGGTGCTTCGGCATCCAGATGGTGGCGCTCAACTACCAGACGGAGGACCTGCACGTCCACCTGAACCACGCCATGTTCGAGCAGAACGGGCGGTGCGGCTTCGTGATGAAGCCCTCGCTCATGTGGGACCGCTCGCACATGATGTACCGCCGCTTCAACCCGTACGACAAGGAGTTCGACGGGCTGCACTCGTCGCACGTGTCGCTGCACATCATCTCCGGCCAGTGGGTGTGCCCCAACCAGCTGCTCACCAGCGTGTTCGTCGAGGTGGAGGTGGTGGGCATCCACGCCGACTACGCCAAGCAGCGCACCAAGGTCAGTGCTTTGCTCACATTAGAGACTTATATTTTCGTGAAAGGTATTTTAGGGACTTTTTTCAAGAATTTTATTTTAAGCTGTTTTATCATTTCCAATTTTTCTGGAAATATTCCAACTTTTCAATTTTGTTTTGGAGACATTTTTAATTTTTCGGAAAAATCTCTACTTTATAGTGTCGCTTATCCGCCATTTTTCCGTCGATCTTTCCCCAGGTGGTGCAGCGCAACGCCCTCAACCCCATTTGGAACAACGAGTTCACGTTCCACATCATGTTCCGCGAGCTGGCCTTCCTGCGCTTCACCGTGCAGGAGGCGGCCACGAGCCACGTGCTGGCGCAGCGCGTGGTGCCGCTCAAGTGCCTACGGCCGGGCTACCGCCACCTGCGCCTGCGCAGCATGCAGAACCAGCCGCTGCCGCTGTCCACCCTCTTCATCTACTCGCGCACCGAGGAGGAGAGCGTCGACTACAACGGCGCCGCCATGGAGGACAGCGACGCGGCGGCGGCGGCCGCGGCGGCCGTGGCGGCGGCCAAGGGCGGCGGCGCGAGCGCGCTGGCGGCCGCGGGGGCGGGCACCCTCGCCATGCTGCCGCGCCGCGAGGCGCCCGAGGAGAGCAAGAAGGCCGCGCCCCTCGTGCCGCTCAAGCGCAGGATGTTCTTCCTCATGGTGCACGGCGTGGTGCCGGACGAGCCCACGATCCTCAAGATCACGCAGGTGAGCACTCGTTGTGGCGCATGTCGCGCAGTAACGCACTTGATGTGACACTGACCCACGACTTGTTGTCTTTCAGGAGTCGACGACGCAGGAGGTGGTGATGCAGGCGCTCCAGAAGGCCGGCCTGGGCGTGGACAAGGTGCAGGACTACATCCTGGTGGAGGAGGTGGCGCGCTCGTGGGAGAAGAAGGGCAAGGACGAGCCGGCGGCGCAGCGCGTCCTGGACGTGGCGGAGCGGCCGCTGCAGGCGCAGGCGGCGTGGCAGGGCGAGGGCCGCTTCCTGCTCAAGCGCATCGGCGACGACCCGAGCAGCCGCGCCTGGCTGTCGTCCATCCGCAGCACGGCGTCGGGGCGGCGCACGGCCGCGCCCGGGGCCGCGGGGCCGAGCGGCGGCGAGAGCAAGACGGAGAACAAGACGTGGGACGAGGAGGAGAACTTCATGGTGTGCGTGTACAACGTGTCCCCCGAGATCCCCTACGCCATCCTCAAGGCCCCTCGGACGGCGTGCGCGCAGGACGTGCTGGCGCAGGCGCTGGTGAAAGCACGCCGCCTCGAGAACCCCGCCCGCTTCGTGCTCATGGAGGAGCTGGAGTGGGGCGTGGCGGGCGCGGCCGGGGGCGCGCCGACCAAGCAGAACCGCGTGCTGGCGGACGAGGAGAACGTGTACCGTACGCAGGCGCACTGGGAGACCATGGGCCGCTTCATCCTGCGCGACCGCGACGAGGTGACCCCGCAGGCGTCGCGCCGGCACCGCGTCGGCCACAACATCCGCACCGCCACGCAGAACATGGTGAGGAAGGTGCTGGACGAGGCCAGGTCCACGGCGGCCGGCGTGGGCACCCGGGAGAAGGTGCCCGTCCAGGAGGTGCTGTCCGACCCGACGGCCCGGCCGAGCGCGCGCGGTGCTCGCGGCGGCAGCGCGGGGGGCGCGGCCAGCGCGGGCACCAGCCGGGCGTCCAGCCTGGCGCAGCGCGGCCGCGAGGTGCACTCCGAGGGGGAGACGCTGAGCGACGACGACGGCCGCGACGGCGACCTGCGCTCCACCGTGTCCAACCTCAAGAAGATGTCGCTGCGCAAGCTCAAGGTGTGGAAGTCATAGCCCGAGCCTGCCTCCGGGGGCGCCGCCTCCACTTCCTCGACGGCCAGGCCCAGGGCGTCGCTGCCTTCGCAGCAGACGGTCCTGCGCCGGCTGTCCTGGTTCTGGAAGTAAGCGCGGGGAGGGCCAGCTGCACTTCCGGTGCACTTCCTCCTCGTTCCCTCGGAGGCACGCGACACTTCCGGCCTGCGAACAGAACGCTGTGCGTTTCTCTCTCGTCTGGCCGTTGATGACATTGAGTTGTGTACATGGACTGCATTTTTCTGATTTGCTGTTTCCTAACGTGGTCTAATGTGGCGTGAGCCCGCAATTAGTAAAGAAGATGCATGTCTTGCTCGGGTCCAAAGATTAGTGATAAGGAAGAGACATTACTGAAATTTCATGATGGTGAGAAATGTGCATCTCATTATCAGTATTTCAAACAAATTGTTTAAACTCTTACCAATCTCTCTTTTCATTGAATCTCTCCATTCCTCTTATTTTATCCCTTTAATGTTCTTTTCAATAATGTATGCCTTACAGATGTAATTTTGTTACGGTAATATTGTCGTTGTTAATGTTGTTGTTGTTGCCCATTCTAGTCATAACAAAACCTTCTGTGATACTTTTTTATGAACACATTTAAGTACAATTTAATTTAATAACACTTTTCTCTCCGTGTCTCAAATTTTATACAAATATCCATTACAAGCACATTATTTAACATTTTGCTTCATCGAACTCTTGCTCCTGAAGGTTACCACACAGTTGAAATATTTTGTCATTGCAACATCTGTGTTTTCCTCATATTCTTGCTTCAGCGTGTGATATGCTGATCCCAATAAAGTAGTTTTGTAAATAAGTACCATCTCATTTTCTTACAGAAATTATCAAATTTTGGACCGCGCTGAAGTATGAATGAGCTTAGAGTTTACATATCTCTTCTCATCTTATGTGTACTGTATGTTACTTATCTTATTCAGTTACAAATTTTCCATTTTTCAACCTATAGATTTAAAGAAATTGTTGTGTTTAAGTGTGTTGCTATCTTTTATGCCTTTTATATTATGTACAAAATGAAACCTTGATATATAAATAATAACTCTTTAAAATATATTTCGTTGCCGTGTGCGCTACAAAACCACCAACGTACGTTGTTATTAAAGAAAATAATTTTATCAAGTGCGATGTTTTATTTCATCACCTTTTTTTAAAAAAGACAGAACAAATCTGGGGAACTCGAAGTTAGTTTTTGTATGGGCAGAGCTGTGAGGTTTATGGAGGCTTGCAGCAGATATCAACTAGCTCATAGACGCTATTAAAAATGAGATTGGGGATCGCGCGTTACCCGCCAAACGGGCGTAACTGCAACAGCTGGCCGGCATCGGCACAGCGAGCGCCTGCTGGGTAGGCAATCTCGGATATGTGGCGCAGGAGTGGCTGGCGGGCGGGCATACCCACTCAGGCGCTCCAAGGGGTGAGGCACAGAGACGTCCCTGTTGGTAGCTACAACCGACACGGCCACTGGCAGCTTTATGCGAACCGACTGCAGACGCATAAGTCCGCTCGGCGTCATAAATGCGCACGCCCCTCTCCCCCAAACGGACAAAAATAAAAATATAATAATGGGGGAGTATTCCTCGTCTGTGATCGCGGGAACAGCCGCTTCCAACCGCAGTGGTCAGAACAAACTCCTGGGGTTTGTGACGGTGCAGCTAGATTGCACGACCTATTTTTCTCCGACCTGGCGATTTTTCCAAAATCCCCAAAAGTGCTGTCCGACCTAGGTTTTGTCCGACCCAATTTTTTCCGACCTCATCGATATGCTGAAATTTTGGAAAATGTGGCTCCTGCAGTTATACTTTGCCGCACGTTTGGTTTTCCTACCCCAGGGGGCCGTAGCGCCTGACGTGCATTGCAGGTAGGCAACACGCACGCCTGCATGCGGTACAGCATAACCACGACGACTGGCGGTTTGCCTACCCCAGGTGGCCTTACGGGCAGTGCGGCAGTGTAGCACTAAGCTTTAGACATGAATCACCTCCGTGCAACCGGCAGTTAAATTCCCCTCTTAGAGCCGGATTCATTTTACCTACAAAATTATCAAAAATGAAAAAAAATGTGGGCCCTACCCACCCCGCTTTGACACGGGGACCCGCCTGCTTAACTTCGGAGTTCGGTATGGGATCCGGTGTTTTCAGGCACCCAGCTGAGGGCCGGGTTTCTTGACTATCTCGCTCACACCGGAGTTTACAGCCATCGACTAGGTTCCCACC